TGTGATCGTGGTATTACCGATTGAGGGGGTTAGACTGAAAAAAGTCGTTCATTTGATTTTTTAAGGACCACCCCAATGTACATACATATGTATGTATGAAATATTTATTCAGTTGTTTGAAATGGCCTTAATTATAAAAAATAAAACAGATCTAAATATGTAGCTTTATAAAGTGACATTTTCAAACAAATTGTCGATTTATAAAGCAGTTAAAGTCTTCTTTATTGTTTCTGAATTTGGGTGTTAATTTATTTTATTTACATACATATGTATTTTCGGCAACTAAACAAGTTTACACAAGCTCGAATACGAGTATAGGTCAAATAACCTTACCTTATCAAATACATTTTATTCTTGCAAGGTTATCGTTGGAATTATTTACATGCATACGACCATATAATATATGTACATACATACATACATATAACATATGTAATTATAACATACAGCGAATGAAAATAGATATTTACTCTCCAAAACCAATCAAAGCAAGCGGCACAAATGGTGAAAAAATTGCTTGAAATCCACTCATAAATCACAGCTCGCGCCAATCAATCAGATGATCTCAATTGCATTACAGCATATACTTTCAAACAAAAACACATATGTATAATACACACAAATGTGTATTTCACTGCAACTATGTAAATGTAGATGTACCGTACATACACTACATACATATGTACATAGGTAATATACGCCGATGAAAACAAAAACCAGCACTTTTACATGTGATATGAAGAACATTGCTCTCTTTAACTCTCTCCACGATCTCTATGACTAGCCAAGTTAAGTTATCACAAAGACAAAACAGCTAAAAGTACGCACAAATTAGCCGTTGAATCGTCAAGTTTTTTTTTTTTTTAAGCCAACTCGACGGCCTGGCTGCAAGCCAAGCCAAACATCTAGCCACTTGGAGCAATAACCAACTACCGTTTTCAGCGAAACAACAGTCTGCAGACGCTACTCAACGCAAACGGATTGCTACGGAAAATACCGCAGAAGAAACTCGATATAAAACCACAGCGAGAAAGACTAAACGGCTTGAAGGCGAATAGCCGAAAATTGTGGTGCGTTGCAGTGTTTATATATATACATATATAAATTTTTTTTTAAGTAATTTATTTTTTTACTTCGCATCGCGAAAAGAAAGCCTTATAGTGTGCGCGTATGTATCGCGTGATTAAAGAAGTAAACAAAACTTAAAACACAGAATGATGTAAATTTCGAATCGAACTTAGCAGGGTTAAGAGAAAACTAAAATAAATAAATAAAAATAAAGCCAATAAGTAAATAAGTAAATGACACGCATGCGCTTTAATTTGCCCCAAATTGTCTGGAGTGCTGGCCAGCGATATCGGCATGCGCACCACCGCACATTTATGGCCTGAAATGGAAGCCAGTGTAAAGCCACATATATATGGCAGTTAACTTAAACCGCCCAATGTTCGGCAATTATGTATGTGTGTGTATATATTTTTTAGTAATAGTGATAACACTTAAACGACGACTGCAGACAGAAAGTAAATTGAATGAAAGGGGAAAGTAAGAAAAAACAAGGGGAATACCAAAAACGAAATGCCGAAAGATGCAAAGCACGATTTAATGTAGCCACAGATTTCCGGCTTTTTTTTCAAACCACGAAAAAAAGCAAAAAGAACTTTTACACGATTATAAATAAAGTGAATACGAGAAAAAAATTATAATAACAACAAGTTATAATAAGCCACAAAAGAAAAATCCATTAAGTTGTTGGAAGGTTTTGAACACAAGTGTTGCACATTTCATGTGCAGTGATACTATGTGCAGCTTGCTTGCAAAAACGAACGCTTTCTCAACAAGTTCCGAAATGCTCAAAATTAGGGCAACAAGCAATCGTACCCATATATGTATGTAGATATGTTTGTATTTATGTACTACATTTGGACCCTGCAGTAAAATTTCGAGACAGTCTGGCAAAGCGCTAGTTCCGAAATACATATATCAGAACTATCTCTGAACTAGTGCAAAACGGATGCAGAGAGGGACAGTTGAAACTTGCGGTGTAAATGTACAAATGCTCACTACTCACGTACAATACGAAAGTATGTATGTATGTATGTAGCTCAGCGAGAAGACCTCCGACTCGAGCATCGTTGGTCGCGAGTTCAAATCGCGGTGAAGGCAGTTGTTGTGAGTCTTCAAACTTAATGAATTTAAATTGTGCGTGCAAGCTTACAATAATAATTATTTTTTTTTTTTAAGAAAATATGTAACAAAAAATTAAATCTGTAAAAGAAAAGAAAAAACGAAAAAAATATCCAAAAATCTAATCTTAAAAACGTTTTCCTATAAAAAAAAAACTGTCCAAAACGGAACCGGTTGAAAGCTGTTTGCAAAGTAATGCACTGGGCGACAATTGCCACCGCCAATGACATCTTCGTGTAAAACTGGACAGTTGAAAGCATTGCTTGGGTATCGAGGTAGAACTAGTACTGTCGGCAAAAGGTCTAATTCTGCGCTAGTTCTGAGCTAGTCAGATAATCTGCAGGGGATATATTCAGAAATGCATACATGCATGACATATGTACATACATATGTTCAAAAAAAAATTAACTCGAACTGGAGATTTTGCAGCTGCTTTTACCAAATAAACGTTGACTAGTAAAAGATTTTTGGACCAGCTATAATACTGTAGGCACAAGTTAAGAAAGTAATGCAAATGGGGGCATATCGTCGCTACCATGTCAAACTATCGAAAGTGCAAAAATGATTTTTATTTTTGATACCTTGCGCATGCGCTTAGAATGATGCGTAAGTTTTCAAATCGTTGAATTTCTAGTATTCTTAGAAGCAGATATGCAGGGCTCGAATCGCCACATACATTATCGTATTTGGATTATGATATTTTTTTTTATGAGTTTGGGCCTCTGAGTTATAAAAAAAAGCTTTAGCTGTAATGTGAAACAACTTAAATGGGTCGCTCATCACACTATACGGAAAAATCATCTTTTTTCTGGGTATTGGACCAAACCAATTTTTTTTAAGTGATTGAGTCACAAGTAAAAAAGTAATCTCTCCGTTTTTCGATGTAAGCCTCCGAAATGGAAATATGGGCCTTCGAAGTTCGAAATTGGACCTTAAGTAAAAAATTATTGTGTGAAAAAAGTAAAAAAATAAAAATACGGACGTTATCCGCCTTTTGCTCTTTCTGTATGTGGTGTATAATTTTTTTTGTGCAAACTTCTATTACGGCTGCTATATGGTCAAAGGTCAGGTTCAAAATTTTCTGAAATTTTTTTTTTAATTTTTCGAAGTCCTCACCTTTGAGCGCTTATAGCACCTGTAATATAAGTCTTGACAAAAAAAAAGTTATATACCATTTAAATAAGAGCAAAAGGCGGACCATGTCTGTATTTTTACTTTTTTTTTGTTTTTTACATACAATAATTAAAAATAATTTTTTACCAAAGGTCCAATTTCGAACTTCGAAGGCCCATATCTCGATTTCGGAGAAATCACTTTTTTACTTAAGATTCAATCTCTCAAAAGAGGTAGAGAAATACCGAGACCTGTCACATAGTACGTTGCTGAGTACGAAATCTCTAATAGGCGGCCATCAACGCCATTAGAAGCAAACAATACCATTTTCACGACCTGACGCATTGCCGGCATTTATGATCCCGTTAGATAGGCTTCACGAAAGCGATTGGCAGATTAATTGATCTAGGCAGGATGTTTGATTTTTTAGGCGATAGTATGATAGGAGCTATGACTTATGCTATGTACTCATACTTATAATTTGTGAAAAAATTAATAAAAATATAAATATTTGGAGTTGTTGTTGCTGTAGCCAATGCCACAGCCGTTTACAGACCTAAAGAATACACTAATCATGCATTTTTCAGTCGTATTATACAGCTTCTACATAACAAAAAATTAAAGCTATAACTTATTCCCTTTTCATCTAAAAACGAAAAAAAAAATAGATGACGTGCTAGCAGCATTACATAACTTATAAGAAGCAGCCTTGGAACTGATGTCTCAGTAACCTTAATTAGTTGTATAAATACAAAAACCTATACAAACAACGTACACAATAGCGAAGTTGGCGCCTCTAACTAGAAAAAAGATGGTTCATTAAAAAAATCAAGAAGCAAATAAGCAACAAGAAATACAAATACAAGCTTTACCACCACAAATGACGAATGGTATTGGAAGTCAATAAATTTGTCTAAAAAAAACAAAAACACGTAATAAAAAAATTAACAACATTCCGTTGTGTGGTCTCTGTACTGTTTGTTGTTATTTTGTCGTTAAAAGATAAATAGAAAATACATACGTACGTACGAGTATTACAGAAACATACACACAGCGAACATATCAACAAAAGGGCAGTAGCACTGCAAAATGCCAAATAGCCGGCGGCACCTACAGCAGATACAAAAATGTCATCGAAATTACCAGCACAATCAACCTCGGCAGCAATCACAATTACAACAACAACGGCAGCAGCAGCAGCAGCAGCATTCACTTTCGGCCAAATACCACCTCAGACGTTACCACGACCGACTTCAATTAGCTACAGCAATCGCAATTATTTTACTCAACATTGCAGCTGAGCACAGCTGTATTACAGCGGTTGCCACACAAATGGCCACTGCAACCGCAGCCACAGCTGATGTTTCGGATGCTGCGCTAATGGATGACATTAGAAGTGTGCATAATAACGAATTTGGTGGTAATCAAAATGATGTTGCTGGCGAAATGGAAGGCGGAAGTTATACGACCACTGGCACGGGCAGCCAGCACAGTGGAACACAACAACATCGCAATGGATTGCATAAAACATTTTCAACATTAGATAAAGAAGTAGGTATGGTTTTGTATCATTTCTATGAAATAAGAACGAACTAAAACTTTTTAAACGTTGTAAAAAAAATACATACAGTCACTCACAGAAGTAATCGTAATTTAGTTTTTTCACAATATTCAAAATGTTTTCCATCATAAATCTATTCCGTTAATTTTCCTTTAAAATATAGCTCATTCTATAACAAAAACCATATAAATCTTTCTTGCAAACTTTGTACAAAATTCATAAAAATGAATCAAACTTAAAAAATTTTCATCAGAGTTTCAAACTTTTTATTCAGAATTTGTAGAAAAATTTTCGGTATGCAGTTTTATAGCTATTGCTATTAATTGCATTTGAAACCCCAAAAAACAGGGAAAGATTTTGCATTTACGAGTAACCTTCTTGATAATTGGCACAATGATTTATCAGTGCAGCCAAAATGATGAAACTTGGCTGCATATGTACGCATATGTTTGCATTGAGGTTCAAAAACTTATAATTTTACTTTTGATCTTCTCTTTGCATAAAATTGGGTGAAACTGCTTCTCTGTTATCATTGACAATATGGGTTTTATCGGCGTTTTTTTTTTGCAACAATGCGAACGAGTTATTCGCGTCGATATTTAGCCAATGGGCAAACCCTTTTATTTTGCATTTAAGTAGATCAGCACCGCGCGATGGTGTTGTGTGAGCTGTTGACCGTGTGTTAGTTTGCGTGAATTGATAGTTTGTTTACTTTGTCAAAGTCGTGCTTAATATGTATGTACATATATACATAAATAAACAACCATATCCCGCACCAAAGTAATAAAATAAAATACTCTCGTGTATGTACATACATACGTAACATAATACGGGTGGCGTAGAAAGTGAAAATTTTGGGCACTTTTCGAACCAGTAAATGTTTAGCAAATCCATATGGATGGTTGTGCATATTCGACTAAACCGCAGACTTTCATGAATTTTATTTTGATAATAAAAATAACATCGTGACGCATGCGAACTCAACAGGTTTGCCGATGTGCCGAACTACTACTGGCTCCTCGTTAATTGTTGCAAGTCTAGATTTTGTCTTACTAAATGGCGTTCATTTGTTTTGCGCTGCCTTGGAGATTATATGAAAATACTTTTTCACGAGCTAAAAAATTATATATCATTTGAAACTTAAATCTAGAATGACTATTTTACATAAAATTATTATTTGAAGAGGCCTTTGCCAAACATTCTACAACTATATAATACGCCAAGAGCACGGAACCGCTATAGTGTTATTAATAAAAATCACTGTTTCGGCGTTATTTTCTATATTCTATACAAATTTTTATTTTTTCGTTAATACAATATGTATCAGTTTATTTGCAGATGTTTTTTTTTACAACTACGATGTATAAACAAAATCTCTAACCGAAACTATCAGACATGCAATCGGAATTAGTAATTTCTCTATGCAAAATTGTATCACTTATTGCTAGAAGAAATCATTTGAAACTGACCGTGTAAAAGTGGCGGCCATATAATTAGAGACACCACATCCTTCCAAGTTTTCGTTATTTATCTCATCTTTATTCGTCGAAAATCGTGTAACTCAAAGTTTCAAACATTGTACAAGGCTTAAGAAAAACTCGCCAAACTCGCCAAAAAATCATCATCAAATTTCAAACATTTTAATCAGAACTTTTAGAACAAATTCGGGTATGCAGTTATGTAGCCATTCCTTATTGTGAAAGTTTCACGTTGGTTATAAAATAGGGCACAAAATCAAAAATACCTAACAGAGTTGCATGAAAATTTTGACTAAAATTGTATTCAATTAACCAGCAATTCGAATTGCAAGTTGTGTATGGCGAATTGAGCTCTATTAGCGCCTTCCACGAGAAAGCTTAACTGCCTATCTGCATTTAATATAAGCAAATTCATATGGACTTATGCCGAGTTTGGACTATTCAAGTATTACATATCCACAAATGAGGGGCCCGGGGTCTTTGGTTTGCTCATTTTTGATGACAAGGGGCAGGGGGTGGGTCTGTATGATATTTACATTAACAATATTTATTTATCTACTTTCTGAAAAACTTAGTAGATTATAATTTGAACAAATATCGAATATATGTACGTCAAAATTCCTTATTTCTAAACTGATAACTGCTGGTCCCTCCTTTCCACTAGACATTGAAATTACAAAATTTACATAAATAATTGTCATGTGGGAACAGGCGTAAATGCTGTTATTTTTAACGTATTAGCATGGGTATTAACTATTGCCAAACTTTCTCTTCTGATTTAGTGCGGATACGGCCTTATCTGCTTCAAAAAAAAATTAATTAATTACGCAATGATTGCAACAATATTTTTAATAAGCCATTAAATATGTACCTATAACTCTCCAATGTACTTAAAAACTTTCATTTGTAATTACAGTTGATCGTTTAATTAAACAATGGGCACCAATTGTATGGTTGGCACCAGAAGAGAAATTTTTGCCACTCGGAGTTGAAGAGTTTCTCAATCATGTACATCCCATGGATAAGGATAAAACGTTTATACCTGGCATGCCAATTGGCGATGATTCGAAAAAGGCATATTTAGTGACCAATGCAGAGATCGGTAAGAGAAAAAAAAAATAATAAAAAATAATGGCCCGGGAGCTTCACCTTTTTCCAAGTCTTCAGTTTAGAACATCCTTGCTAATTTATGGGAATTGAGAGTGTTTTTTTTTGGAATTCGTACGATTTACACATCACTGCAAGTGAAGGTTTAGTTGTTTTCAAAGTTCGAAAACGCGTTTTTTAAGCCATTAAGAATGCGAAACTTCTATGCAAGGTGATATTTTAAACAGAAGAACACTTCAAGCAAAGCAATATCAACTACGAGTTGACACTGAACACACGTTCCCACGACAGTCCCGGAACGACCCAGATTTATATCTGGTCACTCCAGCAACACTCCCCAAAAAGTCTTTGGGGAATTTGTATGCTGCTACAACAACAACAGCAACGAGTTGACACTGTAAAAGCATCATAATTAAATACGTAATTTTTACAAAAAAAAACCGACTTCAATGCTTATTAAAATTTTTGAGGACTGTTAATTTCTTCATGATCTAATTGACAAAATTAAACCAAATTGAAGAAAATTCGTATGGCACCACCCTTGATAAAAAAATATATATAGAAAACAGTTAACGTGATCCAAAGTTAACATATACATACCTATGTATGTATAAAAAAACTATTCCGACGAATTGATAACCTTCTTTAAAATCGGTTAAAAAAGTAGAAATACAGCAATTTTTTTATCCTATAGGAGAATCAAAAAACATTATTAAAAGGGTATTAAAAAGAGGAAGGGCTTTTTAAAAAGCGGCATGTAAATCCGTTGTCTTTGGTAATAACACTTTAAAATCTTATTGAAGGTGTTTTTTTTTAATACATCCCACCAAAATCTGTGAAAAACGCAGTTTCGAAAAAAGTGTGAGGTTAGGGCCTTTGTGAATTAGAATAACGGCATGTACATATGTACTTTTCATTGAATACTAAAGAATATTTAATCCAATTAGAGGAACTATTGGAAAATGAAAATTCATTTATCTATGGACGTAACCCGACTGAATCGCCTGTGCCGATTTATGCTGTGGTCACCCTTTGCCACGAGCCGATGCAGAAGACTACATTGAAGCCATCACCTCTACCAACGCCACAACCGTCACAATTGAATACTGCTCAACAAAAAAACCGAATACTTACAAGTCCATCGAATTTCAATCCCAGTGGTAGCGCAACAACTAATTACCACAACTCTCCGCTGCCACTTGGGGCAGCAATCCCAATGAGTAGCACACGCGGTCCTTATATACCCGTTTCTATTGATCCATTTGATGTGCATAATGACACAGTGCGTCGTTCATCACGCCTGTATCCAGTTTTCAAACGTGTTCGCCGAAATACTCCACATCACAATTTACCATTGGCTCCACCACTTCCTGCCTCGCCGCCGGCAATTATATTCAATTTACCACCGAAGGGATTAGTGGTGGAGCCTTATGAAGATCTTGTGTTGAGCGAGAGTCGTCCGATTGACGCTGAGAATGAAAATCATGCCGGCGCAGAAATACCAACCACAGATTCGCCAGCGCAAGCGGACAACAGCGGACAAGTGAATAATTTTATAGCCAATTTGGCAGATAATGTAAAATTTAGTATGCCAACCGAAGAGCTATTGGAGGATAATAACATCGATATAGACAGCAACTTCGATCGACTTGCTACACCGGGTCCTATTTTTAATGATGCTGGTGGCCAAAGCAGTGAAAAGCGGCGTAGAAAAGTGCCTAGTTTTCATGTGACCTACTGGATGTTTTACCCATATAGTCAGGTTTGGGGAAATAAATTTGAATTTTTATATTAAACTAAATTGTATTTGTTTTTTTTTCATACGTTTCAGGGCAAAACAATGTGCACTATCAGCCTGGGACCACTCGGTAGCATACCATTTCCGGCAGTTTATGGTTTCTGTTTGGGACGCCGCAAAGATATTGGCAGTCACATTGGCGACTGGGAACATATGAGTTTATATTTCACAGGTGATGCTGAACCAGAAGCAATGTATGTTTCGGCTCATGATGCGGGCGCATATTACTCATACAATCGCTTAACCGGATCATTTGAGTTTAAGAAACAAGAAACACGCAAGGGAATATTACAAAGACCGAATTTTCCGAAAACTGTGACCACTTTCAATAACCATCCAGTATTATTCGCGGCAAAAGTAAGGCAACTTAAATATAATTTTTTTTCCTAAATTAAGCATCATTTCTATGTTTTAGGGTTCCCACGGTCTTTGGACGGCGCCAGGAAAACATAGATTTGTCAAAGTAGCACGACTGTATGACATAAACGGCTTTGGAACACCATGGAATACATGGAAATCGGTGGATATAACTTATGAAAACCTAAAATCCTATGGTAACTAATGAATTTTATTCAATATGCAGTATACTAAATTTAAATTGAAATATTGTAATACTTTCTAGGACGCGCTCTGGTGCCATCGTGGCTATCATTCAAGGGTAAATGGGGCAACCCTAAAAGCAAATGTCATCCATTCCGACGGATCGGTTTGAATTTTTGCGAGTACACCGATGGTCCGACGGGTATACCATTAAAAGAGCCGCATTTCCAGTGTGACGCAGCTTGATTTAATGGATGTTTATTTACATTTAAGCGCTAGACTAGTTAATTTTAATATTTATTGCAAAAATGTATTATCATTAATAAAATATAAGAATTAAGTGTAAAACTTGCAGTCTTAGAGTATTTTATGAATATACAAATTTTTTTATCCCGCTGACTGGCAACCCCTGCCATAAAAAATTAAATTTTTTGGTAACTACATATGTAGGTATAAATAAAATTAATCACAAATTTCACTTTTCGAGTGGGCTCTCCAACAAACCAAAAAAAAACTATTAAAATAGAGTTAAAAATAGGCAATATATGCATTAAATTAAATCAATTCCGATGTTTATATGATATTTTAATATTCTAAGGCGTTTTGGTCAATAACTCCTACACTTAATGGAACTTTTTTGGCTTTTTTGTCAGAGTATTTATTTTTATTTTTTTATAGATTTTTTTTTTTTGGTTGTTGTCTCCAACCCAAATTTGACTAGGGCTGACGAAAACGCAGTTTTTATAGATATTGGGTGATATCGTGTACCACTTGAAATTAGGTAATCTCAGGTGTGAGGCATTTCTGAAAAACAACTGATGCTTTATTTACTTGTAGGTATAGTTGTCCACAAAATAATAGGAGTGCAATATTTTGACCAGTTTTGACTATTTGTCTTTTGTTTATTATTTTTTTATAAAAGTCCAGCGGGTTATACAACAAACCATATAAACTAACATTTCCATTAAATAGTAGTATCATGAATTGCAAGTTTCCGAGTTGGTAAGAAATCCCATTGATTTTTGAGAATTTTTTTTTTATTAAAGGTATTCTAAATTTTTTCCATACAAAGTATGTTCCACAATTTTCTTTTATACAGCGTGGCGACGAATAACTGTTCCGCAGTATTTTCCTAAATAGAAGGGTCCTTTAAAAATTTTGCGAAGAAAGTATTTTATTGTTAATTTCCCACAGATTTTACTTTCATTCTTTTGAATAGTTTTAAAAATTTAATCCTTATTTGCATTTGCCAGCAGTGTAAACTTTGGGGGAAAAGTACATGCGACACGCAAGTCTTTTTCAGGTGTATTTTTTCCGAGACTAAAAACATAGTGGAGCGGCGAGCAAAGAACATCGAGCAAAGCGTCGATTTCAAACGCATATGTTTCAATGGGAGAGTGCATAGTGAAGAGCAAAGCGTACATACACGTTTGTAATTCAAGCTTTGCTCGCCCCTCCACCCGTGTTTTGACCCACGATTGAGAGTAATAGAGATTGCGTCCATCGCGGTACCGCTAATCCGCTCTTTGTGAATTTAACTGAATCAGCTGGGTGCGTGATGTCATCTTGGTGCAATTGTTGATTGAGGAAAACCAAACAACGATTTAACTGGGTACGGTTTAGTTATTTGCCCAGTGATTTCGGGCCAATGTGTCCGAATTGGTGGCCCGATCAAAAGAATTTTACAGACACTTGTAGTCAAGGGTCAACACTTTATTGTAAAAGCTAATTTTGTAATTTATGGGTCACTAATTTATTAAATAAATTCGGTCTGAAAAATTCACTTTTTTGTGAATTTCCGAGTGAGTTATACGAAAAATATACTGTGGATGGCGTACGATGTTATATGCACAAGAAATGTTGAATACCTTCGACTATAGAAAGGTGTTCTGCACAAAAATATTGTTTATCGAGTATACATTTCCGGTGTCAAAATACTAATTTTTGACCATTTTCCAATGGTTCCCCCAGGGGTAAATGGAAGGTTTTGAGAGATCAGGTGTAGCGTTTTACAAAGTCTGAACTGTGCTCTTTTTAGTGGATTAGATATCAAGACCCACGCCCCCTCCCCTCCGCCAAAAAAAAATCATTGCTAGGTGTTCCTATTTAACTTCGTATATTTATTAATTCCTGCAAAATTGGACCGTTTAATATTGATATTAACACATTTTTCCACATTGTTTACATATTTTCCTATGCGTTTTGGCATTTCTCTCTCGCAATTGCATCAAGATGACGTCACGCAAAAATTACGCTCAAAAATCCTCTATCATGGACGCAAACTTGTATTCTATCATTCTTGGTTTTGACCCCTATAGCTCAGTTATGCATACTTGCCGTTGTTTTGTTACGTAAAAATCAAAACCCAACAGACTTCTACATTTGAAGTGCTATGCGTTGGATAGCCGCTTACACGCAAAACTCATTTAACAGATTCCTTATGTGACACCTCTCATGCAACGCCAAGTATGCATAACTGAGCTATTACACTTTGTAAAAAAAAAAAAAAAACTGTACAGGGTTCATGTTGTTGTTGTTGTAACACCATAAGATTCGCCAACGAGTTTTTGGGGAGTGTAGCTGGAGTGAAAGTCCTTGGCCAGATATAAATCTGGGTCATTCCGGTTACGTAGACCCGACTGTCGTGGGAACGTACAGGGTTCATCGAATGAATGGTTGTCTTAAGGCGGACCTCCATTTGAGATTTATGCTTAGAAGTCAAAGTTCATACAAATTTTTTACATTTTTATGCGCTGCTATGAAGGTGCAGCCATAAAAATTTGCATATTCAATTTTTTTGTCAAACGCGACCATACGTGAGTATACGCATGCTATGGAGATCCGCTTTAAGTCCACAGTTCTGAGTCTATTCGATTTCTGAGTATGAGGCGTTATGTTGAACAAAAAGGGAGTAAAAATGACTCAAAATGGAGGAAATTAGCCTATGGTTACAGAAGATATGGAATAAATTAACCGACCAAGACTTTCGTGCCGTTTGGGCTTTTCTCTCACAGTGTTAACCGCTGGTAAACCGAATAAAGGTTAAAATTTAATAACCAATTAATAAAATTTAAGTAAAATCTGTGAAAAATTAACAATAAAATACTTGTTTAGCAAAATCGATGGAGGCTCTTTTAATTTTTCACCAAAAAAAAAACTGGGTAACAGTTATTCGTCGCCACCCTGTATGGAAAAAAAATTTCCGAAAATCAGCGGAATTTTTAGCAGCTTGAAACTTGAACTATATTATACTAGAAGTAACTACAAAACTACATACCAAAATATTTTCTTAAGATTCTGATTAGAAATTTGGAAATTTAATTTATATGGTGTTTATTGTATAACCGGCTAGACTTTTATAAAAAAAATAATAAACATTAAATAAGAAAAAAATCATCGTACTTCTATTATTTCATGGATAACTGTATGCGCAATGGCCGAGCAAGCCTCAAAATCCGCAATTGTTAAAATCGATGACAAGGCGGCCTATCTAGAAAATTGTTTCTTAACTCGTTACTCGCGTTTGCCTACTTTTGCTTATGCAGAGTACTATTACATTTCAAATTAAGTTGTTTGCAGTGTTCGTATTACACTTACTTGAAATATTAAATTGGCACTCTCACTGAGCGTTGTTTCATCTGGGGAATCAACTGGTATTTGTCTTGTAAACCTTGTGTCGAATTGTGAAACGTCATCTTCACTTCGCTGTAAATAATTAAATAAATTTCGTTAGTATTTTACAAAAAAAAATGTAATTAATTTTTTTTTGCAATTTGCATGTTTCACATTTACCTGGTTATTGGGTTATCTGGTTATGTGATTTTTTTTTTCAAACAATAAAAGACACGGGCGGCCGCTGTGGTGTAGTGGTAAGCAGTGCGCGCTTCCACTCCGTATGACCAGGGTTCAAGCCGTTGTCAAAGCAACATGGGAAAAAATTTAGAAAAAAAAATGTTTGCTCAACAGCGGTCGCCCCTCGGCAGGCAATGGCAAACCTCCGAGTGTATTTCTGCCATGAAAAACAGCTTCTCATAAAAATACAATCACCGTTCGGAGTCGGCGTAAAACTGTAGGTCCCTCCGCTTTGTGTGACAACATCGAGGCGCACGCCACAAATCGGAGGAGAAGCTTGGCCAAACACTAACATATGTGTAAGCGCCAATCTATTATTATTATTAAAAGACACTGGGGAATTTGAATTTTCATCCAAATAACCTAACACCCAGAAAAATGTGAATACCTGCATAGATTAAATTACTTAATATAAGCTATTATACATAGAGATTGCTCATTTACTTCAATAGTGTTAACTCAAAAAATACAAAAATTGAGCTAAGTATGCAGAAATTGTCGCTACCTCTTCTTCTATGTTGTGTTAAAATTTCAAAGCAGTATCGATTACCAGTACCCTGCAAAAAGTGGGACTAGATTAAATACGCTTCCTTTTTACCAACACTAGTAACCAAAATGGCCCGAACATATGGTTACATTAACACTGCGATGTCATTGGACCTGGCCACCTCTGGTCCAACGCTGCATTACATGAGACCACTTCTGGTCCAACGCTGTTATAACTACGCCTTTTGGACCATCTACAAGATACTTGTATTTCGCTAGAACAAAATGTGTATTTATTTTTACTATGGGAGTATATGTATGTAAATTCAAAACTTGAAAGCCGTCTTTCTCGAGTGTTGCTTTTTTTGAGTTGCGATACTATTAAAGCAAATAAGCTATATGTTCTATACTAAAAACTGCCCAAAATTCATAAATTCCTTATATAATTACTATTGAGAAATAATCTTTAACGGACGCTGCTAAATTTATAGTCTAGTGTGGATATACCAAATCCTAGCCTTTCGTGTACCCTACAAATCCTACAAGGCAATCTAAAAGCAAATTCTTGAAAACAATAGGAAAAAATAATATTTACCAATATGGGTTTGATTGGTGGCTCCAGTCTTCGCGCCAATACATCATCCCAATTTACATGTTTAAAGAATGGGTGTGACTGTACAGCAGCTGCATCTTCTTGGCCGCTTCCCAGTCTTTGTGGCACTTGACGTTTCATCAGACGACGTACTAAATCTCTAGCTTCGGGTGTGAGGTAGGCAGGTAGTACTAGTTTAGCTTTCAAGATCGTCTCAATTGTTTTCTTACGATTTTCGGCGGTAAACGGTGGCTACAATTACATAAAACCAAGATCAAAACACCGATCCTTGACCTATGCTCATAGGTAGTGGCACAAAAGCTTACCATGCCCGTTAACATGTCAAACATAAGAGCGCCCAATGACCACCAATCAACGGCTTTACCATGTCCATTGCGAGTTAAAATTTCAGGTGCCCTGTTGGGTAAATGTAATTAGATTTTAATATATTTAATGGCATAATATAATTGTATTGGAAGTAGTTATTTTTACTCACATGTACTCAATTGTACCGCAAAATGTGTGTGTGACAATGCCCTCTTGAATGTGCTCTTTGCACAGACCGAAATCAGTTAGTTTAACATGCCCTTGTGCGTCTAATAGAATATTTTCTGGCTTTAAATCACGATATATTATGCCCAATTTGTGTAAATGACCCAAGGCCAATATGATTTCGCTCAAATAAAAACTATAAATAACGAAAGTGATTTCATTAATACACACATGAGACTCCGGTTGCTTATAGCAAAGTTTTTTACCATGTTGTATCCTCCAAAAATATGCCCTCACGTTCTAAATGCATAAATAATTCACCGCCACTTAAATATTCCAATATTAAATATAGTTTTCCATCCGTTTGAAAAGCATATACAAGTTCTACAATAAATGGATGCTGGAAAGGAAGAAGATTCAATCAATTAAAGTAATATTATGTACATACGTATTAAATAAAATTATTTCTTTGATTTCCAGAAAATTTATGATTATACCTTTACTGCCTCCAATATATTGCGTTCGGCTCTTGTATGCGCTGTATCTTTTTGGTTTGTGACTATAGAGGCTTTCTTGAGGACTTTCATGGCAAAATATTTATTTGCATCGCGCCCAGCAGTTTTTCGTACCTACAATTTAGATTTGAGATGTACATAATACATACATACATACATATGTACATGTGAATATTTCTTTAGCTCACTTTGAACTTACCTGAAATACTTTGCCATAACCGCCCTTTCCAAGTACCTTCTTTAACTCGAAGTCTTTGGGTCCCAATTTTATTTTACCAGGATTCACAGTTTCCTCCGATAACTGTATTGTCTCCTGTCCTTCAACTCTGCAGAAAATAAAATATTTTGTTTGTTATTATGCCATATACGAGACGAGTATGTACATAAAAGGTACAAATAATAAATTGAAAACTATAATAATCAGCTTTTGTGTCATACAACTATTTCAATGGTATAAATTATTAGTTAGACAACAACATGTTATTAATGCGTTTCGGTGTGGCATCAAACACTTGTGCACCTGTTTAACTATGAAAGTGTTTATCGTTATTTTATTGATAATATGACGATAGATATGACGGATAAGTGATGTTGTATTAACAATATTATTACGATTATTTATGTTATCAGTAAATACCAAAAATAGCAAAATATTACAATATGTATGTATGTATACTTGAGATTTTGATTTGGTACTGAAATGTTTACGATGTCAGGCATACAAATACAAAAAATAAAAAAAACAAAAACAAAAGGACTAAGTCATGCAGCACAAACTGTTTATTTTCGCACGGAGATTTGTATGTCGGCATACGACCCAATCGAACTTTATGTATCGTGCTGTCGAATTGGATTTAATTATGAATTAATTAATATTTGCATTGTTTTATTAATATTTATGGTAAGTCAAGTTATGTAGGCACCAGATACGTTAAAAACACTTGTAAAATAATATTTAAATACAAAACACAAATACGCCACAAAAAGAGTATTTGAGATACAAAATACAAATACGTCACTCAGAGAGTATTTGAAATGCAAGTATCTACAATTACAAAAAGTATTTACATACAACAGACGTATTTCGAGAATATAAATGCATTGGAAAATACTTGATGGGCGGTTTCGCAAAGACATCGACGATATTCCTTTGTACTGATCAGTACGGAGTTCAGTTGACTAAAAATCATTACTGTACTGCTGCAGTTCACAACTAGAAGATTTACCCTATATAAATTTAACAATTGTTTCTTACGAGATCTAGACTCACGAGGTTAACAAATGGGACGATATGTATGTTTTCTACATAAGTGAGACAATTTCGATGTGCTTTTGGCCACTTTCTTGCTTATTTTTTTTTTAATAAAATTGTAAAGCTCAGCTCAGTTATCTGGGACGTTTGAGTTTATTATTAACTCCCTTTTTGTTAAATTAGAGGAGTCTTTTCATATTGCACTTTGCATTAATGATCAAAAAGCACATCTGCATGGAATGCCGGTCGGCAAAAACTAACAAATTTTCCTATATTTGCTTCATAAATTTGGAAATTCATCGATGTTTAGAATATCAAAAATATATATTAAGTTAAGCTCCTCCACAATTTCTTCAACTCCATCGAGGGTACAAAATCCGAATATTAAAGATAATTTGGAAATTTTCTTTAACGGAAAACCGTGACAGTTTGATGAAATGGGTAAATTGGGTTCTCAATTTA